TACCTTCTTCTCTCCTTCCCCCTACCTCCCCCTACCTCCCCTTCTCTCCAAGCTTTCTCCTTCCTTCTTGTGATGGCTGATCTTGCTTGCCTGGATCTGGAATCAACCAGGTAACAGGGCTCTGGGAACACCCATAGAGGTTTCCTATTTTCTTGTTTTTGTTTTACTGAAGTGAGAAGACCCTCCCCAGATGTGGATGGCGTCTTCCCATGGCAGCCAAAATAGAAAGAGGTCCAAAAGAAAAGCTTTGGCCTTAGCCTGCTTGCCTTGGTGTCTTACTGGCAAGTTCATCCACTCTGTTGGTGCTGTAGCGACTGCTATTGTCCTTCGCTGATAACAGAACCCATTTCTTCAGCCTTCTACCGTGGGCTAAAGACAAGTGCTCTCCGATAACCTTTCCGCACCTGGCTGGTGTTACCAAGGCGCCTACGGGGCAGACAGAACAGCTAGTTACTCATCTTCTCTAGTAGAAAAACAGCTGTTGTGGGCTACCCAGATCCTGTAGTCTAAGCCCCTTCTAATGTTTATTCCTTCTGTAGCTCAATTCCCTGTAGAGGACCCTGACACAGTTGTGCTCACACTCAGCAACTCTGTCCACTGCGTTTATCTCCCCAGGACATTTTTCTTTACACTTTGAGAACACTTCATCATCTTCTATAAACAAAACCATGGGGAAAAGAACTTACATATCAATACAGCGATTTCCCCTGTAGAGATGGAGAAAAATCTGTTTAACATTAATAGACCAGCTGTTAATTCCTCTTAGCGAGTTGGCTTTTCTCCAAACTGGACAACGCAGCTGAAGTTTCCCCAATAAATCTCCATTTCTGGTTCTACCTTGGTGTCTGCTTCCCAGAGGGTCCAAAGTGACACAGGAAAACACACAGGTGTACACACTGTACCCACACAGATGGTACATTGCACACATGTTCCTTGATTTAAAAATGGCATTTGTAAGGCAGAGCATGGTGGCTCATGCAATCCTAGCACTTAGTAGTCTGAGGCAGGAGGATTGCTATGAACTTTGGCTAATTTGGTTTACATAATGTATTCCAGGCCAGCCTGTGTACAGAATGAGACTGTTTCAAACCACAAAACCAACACCACAAGAATGGGGCCCGTGGTGGCTCAGTGGGGTAAGGCATTCACCACCAACCCCAGTGACCTGAGTTCGATCCCCACGACACACATGATGGGAAAAGAAAACCAACCCACACAAATGTTCTCTGACCTCCACACACGTGCTGTGGCATGTGCTCACACATACGTTAATCAATCGATCGATCGATCGATCGATCATTAAATGCAATAAAAATTTAAAATAAATGGCAGCAACAGCAGAAAGTGTTGCGTGTGCTCTTCAGGGGCCTGTGTATGTCTGAACAAGTGTAATGGCACAGCAGTGCGTCAGGTGGACAGGGGACACCTCAGGTCCTTGTTAGTCCTTCCTTAACATTCAGATCTCAGGGTTTGGCAATTACATGCAAAGTCTCCATGAATAACTTCGTCCGTACTAATTTTGAAATACTGTGGATAAGTTCATGGAAAAAAGTACTAGGTCAAAGGTTTGTGCATTTTTCTTTCTGAGAGATATTGCCACATTTCACCCCTTAGGGTCTGTATTATATTTCCATAAAAAAATGCACATTTTCTGTTTCCCACATCTTTGCCAACACTGTGTGTTTTCAAGTTTTTTTCTTCTTCTGAGGTTTATTGGATAGCGCAGACCCTGAATTTGCAATCTTCCTACCTCTTCTTCCTGAGTTAGGATTACAAGCACGTTTCACCATGACTCTCTGCCACTCTGAGCTGTGAGGAGAGTGGTTGCTTTAAAACAAAAAGCTACTGGGTGTGGTGGTACATTCCTATAATCCTAGCACTCAGAAGGCTGAGGAAGGAGATTTGCCAAGTTGGAGGCCAGCCTCAGTTATACATGGAGACCTTGCCTGAAAATAAACAAAATTCATTGATTAAAAGCAGAAATCAGATCCTTTCACTTTCTTGCTTATAATTCCTCAGTGGCTTCTCGAAGCGTCTGGTGGCAAGCCTGTTACCCTATGCCAACCCACTGTGTCCACATCTGTCCCTCCAGACTCTTTCTTGCCTCCTCCAGAGAACATTTCCAGTTATCCATTAAGCACACCAAAGCCATGCCCAGCTCAGGGCTTTTGCCTCCTCTCTTGTCTGAGTCCTTCAGGGCTCAGCTCCAACCACACCCCATCAGAGAGCGTCCATCACCCTACAAGTTCAGACCTTATTGCTCACTGTCAAGGCAGACCGTTGGCCGCCTTCAGACCACTCTTCACAATGGCTTGTATGTCTATCTTTCTTCTCTTGAGATTTTATGTTTCCTGGTTCCTGTTCATCTTAAATGCTAAAGAAGAACTTACCCAAAGGGTATATGAACAGATTAACCACTGAATGAATCTTCCCAGACTTCCAATGGCATTAGGCTGACCCCATACTCTCTCAAATGTCATTCATTACCTTTCTATAAACACCTTCCTTGTGCTTCTAAACCTGGCAGGTGCCTCAGCCCCTAGGGTGGCCTGGGTGCCAAGATGTTCTTAGTCATCAAATGTACTTTGTGATCCTCTGATGGCAAAATGTGACTCAGAAGGTAGGTCACACCTGCCACAGCTGTGTCTGCTGGAGCAGATTAGACACATCAAATATTTTCTGTTGTTGCCATAGGAATCTCAAGTTGCAACATGCTGTCATGGGGAGAGCCTTTCTCTCCATGGGCTAGTGAGAGTTTTCATGTACCTCTATTGTTACGCAGAGCTTTAACTCAAGAGTTCTTTGAGGTGTGAATTAAGGAAATCCGAAATTAACTCTTCTTTCAAGGAGCAAAGGATGACAGTTCATTGTAAGAGAGCTGAACTGTGTGACTCTTCCCAAATTCTTTTGTAGGCCCTCATCCCCAGTGTCTCACAGTATGGCTTTGTTTAGAAATGAAGTCCTTGTGGATGCAACTATTTAAGGGCATGCTGAGGTTTGGTGGGCCCTGATTCAGTGCAGCCAATACCCTTATAGAAAGAGGAAGGAACACACATGAACGATACTTGCGTATGAATGTAGGAAAAGGTCCATAAGCGTAAGCATGGCAGAGAACACCAGCAAGCTACCAGAAGTGAGAACCCGCCCTGCCAACTCGCCACCAAAACAGTGAGACAACAGACCTGTCTTGTTCGAGCCACTCAGTTTGAGGTGCTTTGTTACAGCATCCTTAGCAAACTAGTGCAGACTTCAGCCATGCCAGGCCATCTTGGATAACTAGGTTCTGCATGCCGAAGATAAATTTGTCCATTTGGCCTCCACCACAGTCATTTCCCGTTAGACAAATAGGAGAATGTGGCATTAGCACGGCGTCCTGGGCTGTGTCTGGGCATATCCCCTCTGCAGTTTCAGTGGTGTGGGAAATGTCTAGGAGAGATGGCCTGTCAGCTCCCTCCCCTGTTTCCACTACAGCTCTGTTATTCCCACGCTCTCTCCCAGTTGTGCATGTTTCCCATCAACAGCAATGCTTCTGGAATCAGTGCTGAGGTCTCACCCAGGATGCCGTGTGTCAGAGGAGGCTGCAGAGGTGCCTTGCACTTAACTTGAGTGACTGTATTTCCCCTCCCTGTCTCTCCACACTGACTTCTCTTCGCTGGCATATTTGCAATTGAGTTGCAAGCCATCCCGAGGTGGCTTCATCTACCTGGAGATCTCTCCTGGGGATGTCCTTGGGAGTCACCCGGGGAAACCAAGGGCAGTTTAAGTTGTCACAGTGGTAAGGGGAGGGAGTATCAGGTACACTGGTAGGGGCCAGGGAGGCTACAGTATCCTGATGTGCAGGCAGGTCCTGAAAATTGAAAATTGTCCTACCCAGTTCCAATAGTATGTCTGCTAAGAAACACATATGGTGGTGTTGAGGGAAGAGTATGAAGTCAGGGTAGGATTGTTTTTATTTGTTTATTTAGGGTGTTTTGTTTTTCGCTTGTTTGTTTGGATAGGGTCTTGCTAAGTTGACTGTGGTCACAATCATCCCGTTTCTTCCTTGAAAGTGCTCTGAACAGAACTGAGCCCATCACGCTCAGCTGGAGGCGTAAGTGTATGTGTTCCAAAACTCAGCTGTCTCATTGTCTCACCAGTCTGTGCCTTGGTGCTTCAGGTGGCTGGTTCTACCTGGAGACCCTGATGCTGCCACGGCCCGGTGATGACAAGGTTAGAGTCAGCAGAAGGCTGAACTGGACTGGGTGTCCAACACAGTGGCTCCCTTACTTGGGTGTCTGTCTCCTCAGAGAGTCTGTTGAACTGTAAGCCTCTCCAGGTCTTGGGGTTCACCTTTGAAAGCAGGGAGTAGGCTGCTTCCTAGCCTGCTGGGGTGCCCCCACCCTTTCTGGCCGTCACTATTGGCAGGAAAGGCAGCCCCAGTCCAAACATTAGGATGGTTTGCACACTCCTCCACTGGGAATTTTCTGACTTGGCATTGACTGGAGGGTTTGCAAAGCACCCTGTCTTCAGGAAGATGAAGACCCACTTCCTTACTTCTATTGGATCTTAAGTAACATGTATGTTTGTTGGTGTGCTGGGGACCTGAACCCAAGGCCTTGTTCATGCTGATCTGCCTACCACAGAGTCAGGCCTCAACTTATTCTTTGTTTGTTTGTTTTGTTTTTTGTTTTTTGAGACAGGGTTTCTCTGTGTAGTTTTGGTGTCTGTTCTGGATCTCGCTGTGTAGACCAGGCTGGCCTCGAACTCACAGA